ATTTTAAATGACAATATCAAGCGTTGACAATAGTGTAGAACAGTAGGAACTGTCATACTTCTGATACTATAACAGACACCTCTCGTCATCTTGAGAGGTGATTTAGACCCTGGCAGAGAGTTGTGGTTAAATTTGTGATAATTATACAAAATGACAAGCAAATGAATAAACTACACAATTCCAGTAAAAATTAAAACTTGTGGAGGAAAGAAAAATTATTCTAGATGGTAGATGGCTCAATTGTGAGCAGCATTTTTATGTTTATAACAAAATAGTCATAATAATTTAAATACTAATATTGATCTAATTAAATTAAGACAAACACTTATCACAAAAGAGGTGGAACAGGGTGAAGGGGTAAAAGAGAAGTAAATCACTGTCTTCCTACTGGGAGGCCAATAGAAAATTCCAAAACTGAAAAAACAGTAAGTAGCAATATAAGTAAATTATTTAGTCATATGGAGATAAAGAACAAAAGAACTAAAAAAAAGAGTTGAAAGTTATTTCCTCAAGTAGAAGAATGGGGACTGCCTATTTTGGTAAACACATTATAGAATCAACCTTTTCAATTATATGCCACAATATCTTAGGTATAAAAGAAGGAAAATACAGAAAGAACTAAATAAAGAGTTTCACTCTTGTTGCCCAGGCTGGAGTGCAATGGCGCAATCTTGGCTCAAGGCAACCTCTGCTTCCCAGGTTCAATCAATTCTCCTGTCTCAGCCTCCCAAGTAGCTGGGATTACAGGCATGTGCCACTATGCTTGGCTAATTTTGTATTTTTAGTAGAGACAGGGTTTCTCCGTGTTGGTCAGGCTGGTCAGTAAATGAATTTTTAAAAGAAAGAAAATAGTGAAGAAAAAAAAGAGAGAAAATGAAAGAAGGAAGCTGGGAACTAATTTTTAAGCCTCCAATGAAGGAATTTCCAATATTAATGGATCTGTGGACCATTCCAGTAAAGTCAGTCTCACCATGACCCTCCTCCCACTCTTGTAACCATTACCTGACTAGCCAGGTAAACGGGTAAGTTAACCACTGTGTCTCAGTTTTTTCATTAGTTAAATGGGCCAATAGTAGAATCTATCTCATCGACTGAAATGAAGTTATCACAAAGCTGACATGGTGGCTTTAAAGTTTTATACATTTTCAAAGGTAAGATATTTAAAGCACCATTAACAACCAATGTCACAACAAAACATAAACCTTACAATGCTTGGCTGGGCCCAGTGGCTCACACATGTAATACCAGTGCTCTGGGAGGCTGAGGCAGGAAATTAGTTTGAGCCCAGGAATTTGAGACCAGCCTGGGCAACACAGCAAGACTCCTATCTACTACAAATTTAAAAAATTAGCTGGGCATGGTGGTGTTTGCTTGTACTCCTGGCTACTCGAAGGCTGAGATGGGAGGATTGCTTGACCCCAGGAGTTTGAAGTTGCAGTGGGCTGTGTTTGTTTCACTGTCCTCCAGCCTGGGTGACAGAGGCTGACCTGTCACCTGAGACAGGTTTGACCCTGTCTCAAACACAAAAACAAAAACAAAACCCGAACAAAAAAGACTTACAATGCTCCAGTTATTTATCCATAATACCTTCCTCATAACAAATCAGGAAAGGGATATTAGTTTGGGGAAACAGCTTCTCTAAAGTCTAGGAAATCTTGATAAAACAACTCTGCCACCAATGAAATTCCATCTACTCACTGAGAATACTCTTGCCTCCCAAATACACTTTCCATTACTTAACCAGCGCTGTGTACACAATGAGGGTCTTGCTGTTATTTGCTGTCTTTCCTGCTGACCGCTTCTTTCTTTAGCTGCACTTTCTTTAAATCAGTGAAAGTCTGCATTTGGTCAAAGACGCATTATGTCTTTAGGCCTGTAAGGCGTTTTTCTTCTTCCATTGTGTGCTGATTTAATTAGGTCGCTTCTCAAAACTTTCCTGACCTCTGATGGCACAGCCCACAGAGGTCTGCAGAATTTTCTACTCCTATAAATCCTCAAGCATTCAGCCAGCACCTGTGAGGGCAATCACTCGCAAAATACAGCTTTTCTCAAATCAGATCTCATCTTAACATAGCGGATGTGTGTGCTAGAAACGTGGGTGTTACTTTCATTGCAGTTAGGAAGTTTGTTATCAAATCCTATTTATAATGTTTTTGAACAGTGGCCTTATGCTGAACATAACAATGACGAAGAAATACAAAGCAGCCTGCATAGGTGGTGGCAGAAGGATGGGAGGGAGGGAGAGTTACGGGGACTAATTACGAAATAAGCACAACAGGGACAAAGGACCTGCAGCAAGGCTCCACCCACAATCCAAGACAATGGTCTGGTGCCAAAAGAATCTTCTAGACTGGCCTGTGGGGTTCTTTTGGCACCAGACCATTATTCTCTGATTTATTGCTTCTGTAACACGCAGATTGGTTTAACGCTTTAAAAATCTATTAAATTATATACCCCGGTTGAAACAAATTCTGTGGTTAATTACTTACATATTATTTTTAATTTTTTTTTGGTCTTACTCATCTCTCAGAGATTACTCATTGGTTTTAATGCCTCTGGTCAACAAACGTGTGCTCCTTTCTTCACACTATTCTTTATCTTCTAGGTTTCAATTTTGACCTTTTTTCAGTCTTTGAAGTTATAGGCCCATGAGTTCTAGATGCTAGTAAGGCATTAATATGGATTCCACTGACTTGCTGCTAAGAGGGGTGAAAGAAAACTCTTATATTAGAGAATTTTAGAAAGTCTGAAAAGGGCAACTATTACTAGGAATTAGCACCTTTTCAATATAACGTAGAAAATGAGATGGTGGATGAGAGGAATACTGGGAGAAAGTGATTGCATTAGTGTTCTACTGCAGCATAAAAAGTTACCACAAACTCGGTGGCTTCAAACAACGCAAATTTATTATCTAACAGTTTCTGTAGGTTGGAAGCCCAGAAAGAGCAGAGCTGGACTTTCTGCTCAGGGATTCATCAGGCTGAAATGAAGCTTTCAACAGGGGTGTGGTTTTCAAATAGAGTGTTTTCAAGCTCACTGATTTTTGGAAAAGTTCATTTTTTTCTAAGTAGTAGAAGTGCAATTTCCATTTTCCTGTTGACTTTTACCCAGGGGCCGTTCGCAGCTTCTAGAAGATGCCATAGGTCCTTGCCTCTGGCCCCCACAGGCAGTTCATGCATGAAGGTTTACATTTTTCCAGGCTAGCCCAGGGATATCTCTCTGATCTCTTCTACTCTGGCCATCCAGGAAAAACTCTGCCTTTTAAGGTCTCATTGTAGGTCAGGCTCTCCCAAGATAGTCCCCTTATCTTAAGATCAGCTGATCTGGCATCTTAATTACATGCAAGAAATCCCTTCACTTCAGCATATAGGTTGGTGTTTAATTGAATAATTGGGAGAAGGTGAGTGAGTATACCAGCGGCCTTTTAAATCTTGAGAACATTTTAGGATTCTGCCCACCAAAATGGTTTGGGAAGAAATGAAGAAAACTTTTTTTGTGCTGGATATCCAGTGTGCAGCGGACTGTTTGTGTCTAGTAACTATAAGTGATGAAGTCACAGCCTGGCCTCTCTGCAGAGATTCCTGGATTAAAGGACCTTCCCTTTCATCAACCTCCCCTATTCCTTTCCACGGATGGCAAGTTTTTACAAAGAAACCCACTCCTACACTGAAAATAGGAGTTCTTTAAGACTTCTGGACTTGATATGCAGTCTGCAGATCTGTTAGTTGACTCACTTTTTAAAAATTAACTTTATTATTGAAGTATGACATTCATATAAAAAGTGACGTGATCATAAGTGTTCAGCTCAACAGAGGATCACAGAGTGAACACACCCACATAACCACACTCATCTCACGAAATAGAAGCTCGCCAGCATCCCAAAGCCTCCCTAACGTCCTCTCCCAGACTTTAGATCCTCCTACTTCTCTCAGATTAACCATTACCCTGATTTTTGATATCATAGGATTAGGTTTGCCTCTTTGTGGAGTTTTTTATAACTAGAAGCTTATAAGAAACCTTTCTGTCAGATGTCTTTCATTCAATAGTGCGTTTGTGAATTTCCATTGGAAGAACATGCCACAATTTATTTGGCCAGTATATTGTTGATCGACCTTTGCACTGTTTCCAGTTTTTGACTTCTCCAAATAGCAATTCTATGAACATCCTTGAACCTGTCTTTTGGTGGGCTGTGCACCCCTGCTTATTGTGCATATTGCTAGGAGTGGAAATGTCAGGTTGTAGAGAAGGCATGAATTCCGCTAAAGAATTTACTGCAGAAGAGCACCACCACCCTTAACTGTGGTTAATGTCCAGTTTGGAGACTGTTTTATCCTCCATGTAGAGTAAATTTCCAGTCTTCTACTGGAGTGGGAAGGCTCAGCTGTCCAGCTAGTGGAGTGAGTGAGGAAAGGGGTCTGGGCATTCAGCAGCCTCCTATAGTTTCAACTCATTCTCCCTGTTTTAGCCAGCGTATCTCTCCTCAGCCCCCTTCAAGAGTTATCTGGTCCTGTCAACTTCAGAACATTTGGTCTTTCATGTTGCAAATTAGATTGCTTTTCAGGTTTCCTTACCACTAATTTTGGATTCACTTTCCCCAGGCCTGCTACCTTTTTTCTTTTCTTTTCCTTTCCCTCCTCTCCCCTCCCTTCCTTCACCCCTAGGCTAAGCCTCCCCTTCCCCCCTTCCCCCTTCCTATCCCTTTCCTTCCCCTTCCCTTTCCCACCTTTCTTCACCACTTGGCTCCCCACTTCCCTCCCCCTTTGGCTCCCGGATTCCCCTTCTCCCCTCCCCTGTTCCGTTCCCTTCCAGCCTCACTCTATTGCCCAGGCTGGAGTACAGTGGTGTGATCTCAGCTCACTGCAGGCTCAACCTCCTGGGCTCAAGCAATCCTTCTACCTTAGTTTCCCGAGTAGAGATGGAGTTTTGCCATGTTGCCCAGACTGGTCTCAAATTTCTGAGCTCAAGCAATCTGCCTGACTCAGCCTCCCAAAGTGCTGAGATTACAGATGTGAGCCATTACACCTGGGGATGCCTTTTTCATCTTTCCAGTTTTCAAGATTTTTGATGATGCTATGCCCTTTCCCATTTCTTTGCCCCGATTTTGTACCTTTAAGACACAGTTCATTGTGTTTTGTCTCAAAGTTCATTTGTGTTTTGAGGAGCTGGAAGGAAACAAAAGAAGAAAGCACATATGTTTAACACCGTCTATCTGGTGAGGTAACATTCCTTTAAATGTTCAACATTCCTCTCAGAGTAAAGGGGTAAAGGAAGTTTCTTTGCATTATGTGACATGGCTCATGGCTTCATAAAATAAGATTCTAGCCTGCTTCCTGAGGTTAGGATTTTGTTTCTCTCTTTTGTTGTTGTCTTCAGACATTATTGCATTTTTATCTTGCTTATAATGTGTTAGAAGGAAACATACCATCTGCAGCACCAAGTCTAACATCATATAACTGTACATTGATAGAACCAAGATATTTATGAGCTGTGACTTCCGCAGTGATGGGTTTGTTATTAAGATGTTTTGGAATTATTTAGATGTTTGTTTCTGTTTTATGCCAGTAGTCTGAGAAAATATGTAGCTTAGATCTCAATAGAAACACTTAGCACTGGTAGGATCAACAATGTTGTCCCACTGATGGATTCACACACGAAGTCAAGAGTGTCTAATGAGGTGGAACTCTGAAAATGGTGCCAAGTTCTTCTATGCCTAATGCCAGAGTCACCTTGAGGCACAATTTTTTTATTATTATAGGAGAAATTACTCGAGGGGCCTATATTAGTTATGGTAAGGTAAGGCCAACATATACCTATTGTCGTGGGGTGGGGAAGAAATAATAGACCATGTGTGGTCTCCTGAAAGTGACCCTTCCAATATCTTTTGGTTTAGAAAATGGTCCTGAAAAGAAAGTGGGAAAATTTACCCAGGCACCAAATAACTGCTTGGAAGTAAAGAGATCAAATTTCTTTTCTTTTCTTTTGGGGTTCTGGTGTTGGAAAAACCTTTCTACTGTGTTGGAATTGCAATGAAAGATGTCCCCAGTAGGAAAGGACATCACAGGTCTTGGAGAGAAGTTTGCCATGAATGAAAAGGGAGCTTGCATTGTAACTTGGGCCTAGAGGCCCCTGGCACAGGGCTGACTCTGTGCAGGAGGCAGACAAGGCTGATAACCTGCAGACCCACTCTACTCTGGCATGTTGGTCCTGTTTTGGTATCAATGGTTGAATATGTGTGTGCAAAGTAAACAGCTCAAATAGGCGGCTTTTTCAGCAGCCTCTGCTATAATCAGGACAAGTAGAGGCTTTACCAACAGAGTCAGTGATTATATTATGGACCTTAGGGCCTTGGAGACACCTAAGTGTTCTGTAAGACACTGTATGACAATAATAGATGCTGAGGACCCCAAGAATCAGTGAGAATCAGTGACATGAGGGGACCAGCCAGATGCTAGTTGCCTGGCATTTGGAAAGAAAATTAATTCTTTTGAAATGAGTAAGATTGTGGAGTTCTTGAATAGTTTCAGTGAGAGAACATGTATATCGTGTTGATACCCTAGGAATGAGATCTTAGACTTTCTAGTATGAGTGTATGTGAATTACTAAATTGTTAACAGCAAATATAGGAGATTGGACAACATTTGCAGCTGGTGATGCAGGTATCCTCTCAATTTTTGTTAATGAGATCCCACCTTCCTACCATGTATATGTATCTTGTTTTAGATAATCTCCCATTAGTCAATGCTGAAAATAATGGCACCTACATTATAGGATTGTGATTAGGATTAAAAAGAAAAAGAATGCAAACCTTTAACACAGTGCTTGACACATAGTGAATGCTAAATAAATCTTTGTTGTTTCTGTTCTCTCAAGTTCTTTCTGGTTGTTACAAAGTGTTTGTAGTACCAGAGTGTAGGAAAACCATCTATGTTATGAGCTCTGTAATCTTAAGCATTTTATAGTCATTTTTCTGGACCTTGGTTTCTTGATCTTTAGAATGGGAAATACTACAGCAATTTTCCAGGGGTGTTGCAAGGGTTGAATAAGATAAGGTATATATGGCAACCGCCTTAAATACAGCACTAAAGGTTGTGCAAACCAAAGTTCTTCTGATTTTTAGTACCATCCTAAGGAAATGCCAAATCTGGCTCAGTAGCTAGACAATTATAGTGGCTAATCCTGAATCCATCTCTGAATGGAATAGTTTTCTCAGTGAGCCTTCAAAGGAGAGAAAGATTGCAAGTAGATTCTTACTCCTTTCATTTCTTGAGGAGCATGCTATTTTCTGTCATTTTTCAAGGATTTTTCATTGCTGGTATTTTCCCATGAGGGCATAAAGTGGTAAACAAACATAATTGGTCAATATTGTTTGAGTTGTTTTAACCTAGGAGTCTGACTGACTTCCTTGCTCCCCACTGAGTTCACTAGGACTGTATCTCCAAGTGCCTGAGTTCCACCCCTCGTTCAACACCAGCCAGAGTCACAACCTTGGCCAGGAGGGAAAAATTGAAACCAGAAGAAGAAAGGACATTTTAAAGAGATTGTGACATGACGACTCAGTGACAATCAATTGAAGGAGAGTAGTGGAGCAGGGAAGTGCCATGAAGGCCACTGTCTCATTCATTGAGAGTGTTGGACTTCCTTATGGACTGGCTCCATAAGGAAGCCAGGAAAAGCCCCATGAAGCCAAGTTTCCAGGCAGAGTTCCACAGGGCGGAGGGGCACCACACTTTCTTCTTCTTCTTCTTTTTTATTTTTTCAATTGCTGCAAAAGTGAGAAAGTGACCATTTCCCACAGGCCCTGGATAAATACCAGACATCCTGAGGGAAGCTGCGTGCCCACTCTCAGAATGCCCCGTGTCCTGATCTGGTCCTCGCCATGTAGCTCCCATGGGAAGCCTATTAGGGGCTTGGGAACAGTGGTGCTCATTTGAGGAGAATGCCAGCTCTCCCTTCCACTCTGCTGATTATCTATTCTTTACTACTTGCTATCATTCTGATTGTGCTTTCCCTGGCATCCAAATGCAGTTTTGTTGTGTTTCAGCCATCGAAAATGATTTCCTGAGTGATTCTCTCATCTCTTCCAGACGTCTCTCTCCGCATTCCCTGCACCCCCGCCCCGTTTGTCTGGCAGTTAATGAGTCAGCACTTCGTTCTTACTCTTTGCTGACAGTAGTAAAGGGAGACTTCCTAGCAGCTGCTCAAATACCTCCCAAAGACAGCAGCCTTTCTGCAGTGGGAGCACTGATTTTACTGATTATCTGCAGGGTTTCTAAATAGCGGGCCTCCTATAAATCAAGCCTCATTTGAGTGAAATGGGCAGTAAAGACAGGTGCCAACACTGGAAAACAATTTCCAGTACATGTAGAAATTTAAGGAATTGTTATTCTTTGACTATGGCACTGTGCTTTAAGATCTAGCTTGTGTTTGAGTCAAAATTAAGTTTTACAGTGTTTGCCACATCAGCATATAGAAAAATCATCCATCTCTTGTCCCCTAAACGGGACTCCTCGGACACAGGGGTGCACTGAAAGGTTATTTATGGTAGAAGATTCCTTAATTTCTTTTTGCTTTGCCTCACAAGTTTCATCTTTCCTTTGGTATCTTATCTAGGGCAAAGTTCTCAATCTCAACTTTAATATTTTATGCCAAATTTATTTTATTTTGTTTTTGCTCCTATGCATTGTATGATGTTTAGCGGCTTCCTTGGCCTCTAGTATACTCCTGCCTTTCCTAGTAGTGACAATCATAATTGTGCCCTGGAGACAAAATTACCCCCAGTTGAGAACTGTTGGTCTAATGGAAGTTAAGTAGAATAAAAGAAGGACTTAGAAGACTTGAGCTCAAATCTTATTTCAAAGGCTCCTTAATGTAGCTTCTAACTTTAATCTTTGATTCTAGAATGTGCTGCTCTCTTATAGTCTGAGAGCTGGCCAGTGCTGCTGGCGTGAATTCTGGAGTAATGAAGCCAAAACCATGTTCCTGATCCCAAGTAGGTCACAAAGACTGGTCAATTCTATGATCCCACTCTGTATCTCTAATCCCAGGAAGCTGTAGTTCTGGAAACTTATTCTTTCGGAGAACTGAAATTCTTCTTTCTACCCTCACACTCCATCCATTTACCATCCAGGTAGCCACCGTTAGCAATATCTTAGATGTCCTTGCAGAGTTACTTCTTGAATATGTCAGCGAATGTGCATACAGATTCCTCATCAGTTTCCCACTTCCCCAAATGGACATGTTGTACATTCTAGAATGCACCATTTCTTTCTTATCACTGAATCATAAGATTATTCCATATCAGTAGATACTTCATTTCCTCTTTTTTGGGGTCAACTGTTATATATAGTTCTATCATATAAATGTATCAACTTATTTAATTTCTCTCACTGATTTGTACTATTACAAAAAAGTGCTGTAGTGAAAAATTTGTGTAAACATCAAGAAGTGAAATTGTTTGGTCAAATGAAACATGCATTTGTAATTTTGATAGATGATGCAAACTGTTCTCTCTAGGAGTTATAGTAATTTACCTCCCCACAAGCATTACATCACAGCATCCATTTCTCTGTAGTCAGGACAACAGGGCTACTACTTTGGATTTTTATCAATTGGTAGAACATTGTGTTTCAATGTAGTTTCATTTTGCATGTATCCTACTATTGAAGAGGTTGTGTTTCTTCATATGTGTAAGAGTCATTCATTCTTCACTTTTTTTGTGGACCATTTGTTCATTTCTTGCCTATTTTTCTTTTGGATTGTTGGGTTTTGTTATGAATTTCTAGAATTGTTATATATTAAGGAGACTAACCTTTTGTTGTATGAATTGCAAATATTTTTTCCAATATGTCAATTGTTTTTTATTTTGTTCACAAATTTTTTGCTTAAATAAACTTTACAAAATTTTATTTCATCTAACAAACGACTTTTCCTTCATGAATTTTGTTTCTAATTACAAAGAAATTTTCATGTTTCTCCTTCTTTTATTGGAGTTTTCCCTTTTTTAACATCTAAATTTTTGTTTCATATGGAATTTATCCTGGTAACTAAGTATAAGTTATAAATCCCATTTTGTGTTTTCCACTACTCAAGCCTCCAGTTTCCCACAGAACCCAACTGGCTCTCTTGTTTATTTTTTCAGAGCAGTCATTTTTAAAGGAAGTTCACTAATGTAAGGATATTTTCTACTTTTCACCACATGAACAGTGTCTGCAGCAGTAGAGGGCTGGACTGGGGTGAAGGACTGTGGGCCATATCTCCTGCAGCATCTCTAGCTCTTCCAAACTACATTAAGGTCACTTCTGCTTTGCACAAAGTCCTCATGTACTTGTTCATTAGATTTGCAGGAGTATATAGGAGTACATAGAGTAGGGAAAAGCCTGCTTCTTTCTAATTTTGTATAAACATGGCCAGTTTGAAAAGACTCTTGGCTGGGCACGGTGGCTCATTCCTGTAATACCAGCACTTTGGGAGGCCGAGGCGGGTGGATCATGAGGTTAGGAGTTCAAGACCAGCCTGACCAACATAGTGAAACCCCATCTTTACAAAAAATACAAAAATTAGCTGGTTGTGGTGGCACATGCCTGTAGTCCCAGCTACTCAGGAGGCTGAGGCAAGAGAATCGCTTGCACCTGGGAGGTTAGGTTACAGTGAGCCAAGATTGCATCACTGTACTCCAGCCTGGGCAACAGAGAGAGATTCTGTCTTAAAAAAAAAAAAAAAAAATCAAACGCATTCAGAGATTAAGAGTTAGTTGGCTCATTCTTAAGTTAGTGAGCTTTGTGTGAATACCTTCAGCATTTGACTTTCAATGTTTACCTTCAAGTGAAAGTACTTACTTATCTGTTAGCTGCTGATATGGTTTGGCTGTGTCCTCACCCAAATCTCATCTTGAATTCCCACATGTTGTGGGAGGGATCTGGTGGGAGGTAATTGAATCATGGGGGCAGGTCTTTTCCTTGCTGTCCTCACGATAGTGAGTAAGTCTCATGAGATCTGATGGTTTTATAAGGGTGAGTTTCTCTGCCCACCCTCTCTTCTCCTGTCTACGTGATAGAAGACATGCCTTTTACTTTCTGCCATGATTGTGAGGCCTCACCAGCCACGTGGAACTGTAAGTTCATTTAAACCTCTTTCTTTTGTAAATTGCCCAGTCTCAGGTATGTCTTTATCAGCAGTGTGAAAATGGACTAATACAACCACACTTTGTTTCTTCCCCTGTATTAACCTATCTTGCTTGAGTGAAAAAAGAATCTATGAGGATGGATGGCTCTTTCAAATTGCTTTTCTCAGGAAGGCCTGTAACCTAATGTGCATTTTCATGGAGAAGAAATAGATCAAGATCTCATATTTAAGTAAGTCCACCAAAATATACTGTCTTCTTCAAAAGACCCTGCCATTTCCTTACCAACCTCTTAAAACTCTATTGCTGAGCTGGTCAGGCTCCATGGCTTCTGTGTGCATGCCAAAGCCTGACCACAGACGCCTCCATCCCTCCTGCAGAAGCATTTTGTCAAGCTGGTACAAAATAAAAGCTTGGATCCTGACTGACCCTTGATGGCACCAACTCAACTCACTCAACTTTACTTACAACATTAGTAATTTTCACACAATTACTAATGTGAGAAAATAAAAATAGCTTGAGAAACACCAATAATTTAAATGAATCATTCATATGGCATCATTTAACTATATAGTCCCAGACACACCCTATAGTTCTTATATACTATGCATTTGCAAATAGTAATTTTGTCTTTCATTTTCAGTCAATAATTCATAAGGCATGATATTTGTCTCAAAAATCCAAGCTCACCTTGATTCATGCCAAGAAAACCAAGAACCATGCTTCATTTAAATTGGAATCTAAAACATTTCGTTGCCAATCTGCATTTTAGAGACGGCAAATATGTCTGCCTGAGAATCGCAGGGATTGGTCCTGCATGTGTTCAATTTCTCAAGATCTTAGAACAACTAACAAAGCTAGCACTGCATTTTGATTTCCTTTGTTTTGAAGATAACACATTAGCTTAATCTTAAGCATTTTCTTTAGAGAAACACTAAGTGGTGCGGTAATGGTTGCAGCACATAGAGAGGTACATTGCTACGTGTAAGTCAAGGGTGTGAACAAGAAGCCCATGGTAATACGATGTCTGGAAATTGCTTCATGGTGTCAAACTTGTCCATGGATCCCAGGATCATTCCTTATTCTTGGCTACTGGTCTGCAAAATGTGCCTCAGAAAAGACAAAGGGAAAGACAAGGCATGCAGTGAGTGTGGTGGCAAGGTTAGCACCATTTTGCCCTTAGGTTTACACTGTCTGAGTCTCCTTGACTACTTTGCTCTTTGGGCATCTACCTCTGCAAATGGAAGCTCTCAATGCTGAGTTCCAACCTGTTAACAATAGCAAAGGAGAAAGTCTGTTATACTCATTCATTTTTCAGTGCCATAAGGTCAGAGACTACACCCTCTTTATATTTTGCAACTTCCAAACTCAGCTTTATACCAGAACCATCCTTGATTCTCTGACAGGTAACTTGGCTCCTCTTTATAGCACAGTCACTAGTGTGCAGTTTTAGGCAATTTAGTCTCCCTCTGTCTTATGAGGACCCAGGCAATGTAAGTGATGTATACTTTTTTTTTGTCATGCTTCTTACCATGGTTTATTAGAACTTAAGCTAAGAAGGAAAAAAAAAATGCAGATAGGGGATGCAGAGATGGGGAACCAACTTAGTAAATAGTAGCAAGACCATTTGGCCTCAGCGTATTTGCATTCTAGAAAAGGTTTCTTCCAGCAAAGGGACCAAGAACACTTTGTCCAGATAGACATCTTGTCCTAAGTATTCTTTGTATTCTTCAGAGTTAATGGATAGTGAGGAACTTTCACATTATTCAGTTTTGATTTCTCTAGCCAATGAGCAGTTACTGGTGTCCCCCCAAAAAGAAATTTCATTTTGTGGAAGATTTAGATCTTGGTAGGAAGCAATAATATTTGCAGAAGGTCTGAATTCAGTGGGTAAATTTCTTATGGCTTCCTTGTTGTAGTTGGCTTTAAATATACAAAACAAACAAAAACACAGTGCTTACATTACCATACCCTAGTCCTCACTCTTGGGCCATGATCCTGCCTATTTCCTGTTGTTTCTCTGGACAATTGAGTTGCTCCAGCTTCTTTTGGCTCACAAAAGCATTACATCATCATCCATTACATTCCCCCTATTGACCACACTGGAAATCTCTATATTCTGTTTTACCTCTTCAGCCCCACAGGTACAGCATAAATAAGGAATGTCAGACTTGTATAAAGTGCCTTCACACTGCTATTTACTCTTACCCAGACTTTAGTGGGTTGCTAGCTTAAGGCTCAAGTTTCTAGTCTAATAAAAACAGAATTGGTGGTGTACTTAAGATCTAGACCTGCTGTTTCAGTAGAACTGCCTAGAAAATGAAGTTGCAAGGATGAGAAGCCAAATCTATCCTTCATCACTGGATGTTGTCTTAAATTTGACTTTTGGAGTATCATTCTTTTATCTGTAAGCACTAATAAAGCATGGAGTGTGAAGAGAGTAGGGACAGAGCTAACATATTTGAAATCTGTTATGTGCCAGCGAGTCCTTTAGGCAAAATCACTCATTATTATGTTTTTTAAATTTAATCCATGCAATAAAACTGTGAAATAGATACTACTATAATATTCATTTTGCAGATGAAGAAACTGTGGCTTAGAAAGAGACTCAGGTCACACAGCTAGTCTGTATGAAACCACTACCAGCACACAGTCAGTAATTACAGAAAACAGGATTTGAACTCTACTCTTCAAATCAGATTTGAAATTACTTGCTGTTTCCATCACATGCTGGGAGGAGTCTCGGAGCAGTCTTCCCAGGTAAGGAGTAGCCTCTCTTGGGAAGGGGAGGTCACTACCACAGGAAGAGGGAAAAGAGCAACAGTGCTGAGTTTACAGAATATGATCAGCTGTTTATTGATTTGTTTGCCTGGAAGTGGCCCTGCAGGTGCTGGCTGCAGAGCAGGTCTCTCCTGGGACTCCAGGGAAACAGGTTACACAAATATGCAATCAGAGAATGTAAGAGTATACGGGACCCTGGAAATCACCTAATCCAGCTCTCTTCTTTTATTGCAAATGAAGAAACAGACAGGAAAAAAAAACTTGCCCAGAAAGATGAAGCAATTCAGGGAATAGCAGAGTGGATAAGCCAAGCACTCCAATCTCAGTTTCTTCAAGTTCTCAACCTCCTATATCTGCCTGGGCTGCCATCTTCGGTTATTATTCTTGGTCCAAACCTCAAACTCCATCGCTTAAATTATAATGTGTCAGCTTCCTACCAGCTATAGAAGTGGACTGTGAGGAGCCTGGTGGTTTTAAAAATATTTTTCTGAATGATTCAGAGTCCCCTGGTATTCAGGAGTACGTTATTATCTGCATATACTATATTACTCATAATGTACACTAGAACGTTGGCTCCTACCACATGAATATAGCGATCACAATCACATAAGCCACAACAGCAGCAGTGTCATTAGCATGGTGTCGTTACACATGCACAGCCTACAGAGGTTCCCCATTTCTAATCAGCCTTCCTCTGCTTATTTCTTCAAATTATGTGAAATTGTTTTCATTATTTCATAATGAACAGGACAGTAGAAAGCTTCAGGTTAGAGAGTTAATTATAGCTTTTAATTTTACATCTGCCTCTTCAGAAGGTTGCTCACTGACTTAAGAACCATCTTACCCCAAATTGCCTGCAGCTCATATTTCCTTATGGCCTTCCAGGACTCTGCTGACTCACAGAATAAAATTACTTTACCTTCTAGTGCCTCAGGTTTCTCATTGGTAAACTGGAGTGGCTGATATAGACCAGCTTTGAGACATTTTTGTGACAAGCGGTGAAAAATGGTAGCAAGCTTAATTGTAGCTTTCATGTACTCACAGCACAAGGGCGTTCTCAAAGGTCTAAATGACTCTGTTCAGTCAAACACATCAATAGTTCATTTGGTTCAGAATCTTATGGTTTTGTTGTATAATTTTATCCTATAATTTAATTGAGGAAGGAAAATTAACTTGTGAGTTCCTAAAAGACATGTAGGAAAAAAGAAAGTTGAGTTCTGACCTGAGCAGGAACACATTAGGTAAAAGTAGATCAGAAAAATGCTCATCAGAATACATAAGAAAAAGAAAGGAAATTGGATTATTCTACTGAGATTAAAAGATAATTGAAAGGTCAATGTGACAAAACTTTACTCCTCTCTGTATATATTATCTCGTTATATCTTACATATGCTTCTTTTGTTGTGGTTATTTTTTGTTCCCACATGGAAAGACGATGTAGCAAACCTGCACTTGGACCATAAACTTAAAAGTTAAAAAACATATATAATGCATGTCCATGTAAGTCTGACATTGTTACAAATCAAACAATCCCCCCTTCCTTCCTTCCTTCCTTCCTTCCTTCCTTCCTTCCTTCCTTCCTTCCTTCCTTCTCTCCCTCCCTCCCTCCTCTCTCTCATTCTCTTTTCTTTCTTTCTTTTCCTCCCTCCCTCCCTCCCTCCCTCCCTCCCTCCCTCC